GAAGAGGATTCATCTGGGGTGGTACTCCATGAGAGGCTGAAGAGCTTTCCAAGAAAGGACTTTTGCTGTAAAAAGACTTGTACAAAGTTGGCAGGAAGTTGCCCTCAGTTTGCTATTCCTTGGGCATCCCATACACCCCTCACCCCATCCAAGTTCAATTCCCTTAATAAAACAAAAAAAGCTCAAGAACTGTTTACAATCTCCTGTATGCAAACTGGAATGCAAGTCTGAAGAAAATGCGTGTTGCTTGGTTGTGCAGGACTATAGCAACTCCTAAGGGGGTGGAGCTACAGTCATATAAATGTGCAAATCAAGAAACACACGCCATAATATAGTCCGATTAAGTGATCACAGGAATAAAAAGTCCTACGGCTTCAAATGTGACCTAAAGTGCTCCCCGTGCCTGAACGATGATGAAATCGGTGCTCCAGTGCCCGTGTGCAACATGAAGGAGCTTACTGACGGCAAGTTTGTATGAATTGCTCCAACAGACTCTGCTGTCATCATTGGACAGAACAGGAACCAGGGACTTCACTCCCACAGCTCTACCCAAGATGTCCGGTTGGAATTAGAGACAGAAGAAGACCTGTAACAAGATGCCAGTCTCGCTGTTTGTTGATCCGGGCGCAGGTTACACACTTTCCTTTTCTTTATCACATAATGGTGTCAGGGTCCGGATCTGAACCTGAAACCTCTGTGGTGTCTGGCTGTGGCTCTTCTCACCAAGCCACCTGAGATGTTGGACAGCTCCCTGTCTGATCTCTTAGGACAGTCTTGCTTTGTCACATGTCTGGTGAGCCTTGAACTCTTTTGCTCCTCCCATGAACTTCCTGATTTTAGCCTTGTCTCAGCACTTCCTGTTTGCCAGATTATTGTGCTCTCTCCAGCCAGCATCTTGCTTCTTTGCATTACCTGCAGCTATTGCCATCCGTATCTCCACTACCATTCGTTATCAACCTTTGGCTTGTTCCTCGACTACACTTCTGCTTGATCCCAACCTGCAACCATTCGTTACTGACCTTTGGCTTGTTCCTCGACTACACTTCTGCTTGATCCCAACCTGCAACCATTCGTTACTGACCTTTGGCTTGTTCCTCGACTACACTTCCGCTTGATCCCAACCTGCGTTACTGACCTTTGGCTTGTTCCTCGACTACACTTCTGCTTGATCCCAACCTGCAACCACAACCTGCAACCATTCGTTACTGACCTTTGGCTTGTTCCTCGACTACACTTCCGCTTGATCCCAACTGCAACCACTCGTTACTGACCTTTGGCTTGTTCCTCGTTCTGCTTCAACTACCACGTTTGACCGCTTGATCCACACTTCTGCACCCGCTTCTTAATGACCTTTTGACTTGTTCCTCGTTCCTTCGACCACACTTCTGCTTGATCCCAACCTGTTACTGAACTGCTCGCTTTACTGACACTCCTGACCTTTTGGCTTGTTCCTCGACCACACTTCTGCTTGATCCCAGCCTGCAACCACTCGTTACTGACCTTTAGCTTGTTCCTCGACTACACTTCTGCTTGATCCCAACCTGCAACCATTCGTTACTGTTTTTTTCGACGACTTTGGCTGTGTTTTTTGTTCTTCGACTACACTTCTGCTTGATCCCAGCCTGCAACCCCTTGTTACTGATCTTTGGCTTAAGTTCTACGCTTCTGCGAGATCCCTACCTGCTACACTTGCTACTGGACCTCCGCTTGCTCTCTTCCTGGTGGGGTGATTCTGAGGACTGTCCCTGGTACTAACACTCAGCAAAACCCATCTCCACCATCAGGAGCTGTAGTGAACACTGGTTAGTTCTTAGACTCAAGTGGGCTTGCATCATTCTTTAGGGTGGCCTACTTGTGTACTCATCTTGCTGGTCGGTGAGAGCCTCTCTACTGCTATAGCTACTGGTCTCTGAGCCTCACCCCTGACCATGACAAAGGACCTTGTTAACGCCCATGTGTTAGTAAGACAGTTAAATGAAAAAAAAAAAAAATCTAAAATATGGTATGAAAAATAATTTTAATAAAATAAAAGAAATTTTTTGGGGGGTTAACCTGTAAAACCCTTTTTTTGTAGTACATCATGGGTCACAGAGCATCATCTTAGTCCTTACGACAAGGATTATGCTGCCACCTCCAGGTGATTGGATACTGGCAAAAAAGACAGGAAGTCCCCTCCTAGGCATAACCAATCCCTGGTGGGCAGAGCTTCCATTGTGTAGCAAGCCACAAACTACAAGATAGAGGTGTGGGACCTCCGTGTCTTGCGATGTACTCCAAGAACTTGATTTTACAGATAAACCAAAATTCCAGTTTTCTTTATTGTATATCACAGGACATAGATCTTCTTGGGGGATGTCCCAAAACAATGAACATGAGGGGAGGGCAACACAGTAAAAGGCCCCCCCAAAAAACAGAGCAAGAAAGAACCTCACGGCGCAGACTGCAAAACACTGCGACGAAAGGAAGAAGCCTCAGTAGCCTTCACATTCATCTGGTAAACCTTTGTAGAAGTGTGAAGACCAGGTAATGGCCTCAGCTACTGAAGCTTGATGACGAACTGCCCAGGAGGCACCTACATTCCTGGTTGAATGAGCCATCACCAAAGAAGGTGGAACCATTTCTTTCAAACCATAAGCGTGAGAAATAAGCTGAGGATTCCAACTGTAGACTGCGTGACTTTTCTTTGGGCCCTCGGGTAGCACAAACAGGGAGTCCAATCGCCAAATCTTAGGAGTCGACTTAAGGTAAATCCTGAGAGCATGAAAATCCAAAGTGTGAAGAGCCTTGTCTACTGGCGACTGAGGCTCAGGACGAAAAGAAGGTAATACAATGTCCTGGTTGAGATGGTAGGCCAAAACCACCTTAGGCAAAAAAGACAGCCGAGGCTGAAGAACCACTTTGTCACAGTGGGGTATCAGGGATGGCTCCTTAATGGAAAAAGGCAGCCAGTTCCGAAACCCTTTGAGCCGAAGTATTGGTAACTAGAAACATAACCTGTTGCTAAAAAAAAAAAAAAAAAAAAAGTAGGTCCTGAATGGGCTCAAACAGAGATCTCTAAAACAGAAAGAACCAAATTGAGATCCCAGAGTCAACAGTGATCTGACCGGAGGAAAAACACGTGTGAAACCCATGATGCACCAGGAATGAGAAGCAAGCAGCCTCTGAAAAAGAATGGCCAAGGCCGAAATCTGGTGCACCCGGCCCGTGGCTGTCTCATGAGGGCACAGGGGAAGGGGGGTGTGCGGAGGAGGGGGGAAGAGGCTATTCGACCATTCCGGGAGCTTCTCCCTGTTGTATCCGTGATGCTATTCGAATGGCATTTAGAAACGTCCACCACATCGGGAGCGCTCCCATCCAGCCGTTTATCGGCATAGGCCGGACAGGAAGAGGTTAATATACGCAGGGGAGTCCCTAGGGTTGGTGTCACCCGGTGCGGTAACACCCCATATAGGTTGCATGCCAAAGATCCCTGCAGGATGGATGGGATCTGCGGATTTGGGAGGATAATGGATCGGAGTCTGATCCATTATGCTCAATCCGCAGATCCCATCCATCCTGCAGGGATCGTCGAGCTTTCTTTACAACTTACCTTTTTGTGGAGTGGGTCCGGTGTCACCCCGTATAGGTTGCATGCTGACGATCCCTGCAGGATGGATGGGATCTGCGGATTGAGCATAATGGATCGGACTCTGATTCATTATCCTCCCAAATCCGCAGATCCCATCCATCCTGCAGGGATCGTCGAGCTTTCTTTACAACTTACCTTTTTGTGGAGCGGGTCCGGTGTCACCCCATGCTGCATAGGGTTGCATGCCGACGATCCCCGCATCGCCGGGATGGATCACCCCGCATATCTGCGGATCCCCGCAGGATGAGCAGAATGGATCAGAGTCCGATCCATTAACCTCCCCAATCCGCAGTCTCTAGTATTTACAAAAAGGACCCAGCAGGATGGAAATGTATTCAATACTTTTTAATATTTCACAACGGCATCCTTTGTACATAATTCTTCCAAGATAAAATAGTATTAACACTTTTCTTTTAGCATTAACGATCTCTATTTACAATAAGTACAAGCTGGCCGAGGCCCGGAGGAGCGAGGAGCGTTATTGGCGGCGCGGAGGCAGGCAGGCGCTGAAATGTGACCGATCTGTAGATCTCGCCCACAGTCCACGAGAATGATCATTATATTACAAATCCAATATAAAATCCCAGTCTCTTCTCCCTATAAATATGCATGATGCAGAGGTGAAATGTTCAGGATCGACGGCGAGCGTCTCAAAGTCCGCAACGTCTTTGTCGGAAGGGGTGGCGCACCCGGCCCGCGGCTGTCTGATGAGGGCACAGGGGAGGGGGGGGGGGGGGGAGGCTATTCGTCCATTCCGGGAGATTCTCCCTGTTGTATCCGCGATGCTATTCGAATGGCTTCTTCCAGAGATTGCTGCTCGCCCAGCTGATGGAGGAGAGAGAAACCACAAAATTACAGACAGGAATACAGAAAATTCAGAAAAAAAAAAAAAACAAAAAAACTAGGAATAACCGTTTCCCACCCGCCCTATAGTGGAAATACTGCTACATGGCGGCACGGGAGGCGCAAAATCACATATATATATATATATATATACAGTAAATATATACAAATTTTGCATTTCCCGGTTGGGGGTGCGTGCGCGCCCTACCCGCACCATTATCAATCACCGGGTCCCGGCCGGTGATTACCGAGGATCTCCAACGGGGAGGAGGACTGTTTTATTTACATCTCCTTCCATAACAGGACTGAGAGGGTCGGTAAATGGATAAGGCAAGTTACGGTGCTCAGGGGTCACGGTGCTCAGGGGTCACGGTGCTCAGGGGTCACGGTGCTCAGGGGTCACGGTGCTCAGTGTGCAGGGTCTCCTATAGCCAGCGGGGACACCACTGCCTCAGGAGCCCTGTAGACATTGATCTGTGTTTCCCTATGGTCCTGTTATAGCAGTGATTTCTAGCAGTCTCATGTAATGTGTCTCCAGTCTATGACTGTCTCTTGAAGCATGTCCCCAATTTCTGTCAACTCCTATAGCATGTTCACATTCTGACAGTCTCCTGTAGTATGTCTGCAGTCTCTGGTCATCTCCTGTAGTATGTCTGCAGTCTCTGGTCATCTCCTGGACCATGTCTGCAGTCTCTGATCATCTCCTGTACCATGTCTGCAGTCCCTGACCATCCCCTGTACTGTGTCCGCAGTCTCTGGTCATCTCCTGTACTGTGTCCGCAGTCTCTGGTCATCTCCTGTACTGTGTCCGCAGTCTCTGGTCATCTCCTGTACTATGTCCGCAGTCTCTGGTCATCCCCTGTACTATGTCCGCAGTCTCTGGTCATCTCCTGTACCGTGTCCGCAGTCTCTGGTCATCTCCTGTACCGTGTCCGCAGTCTCTGGTCATCTCCTGTACCGTGTCTGCAGTCTCTGGTCATCTCCTGTACTGTGTCTGCAGTCTCTGGTCATCTCCTGTACTGTGTCCGCAGTCTCTGGTCATCTCCTGTACTGTGTCCGCAGTCTCCGGTCATCTCATGTACTGTGTCCGCAGTCTCTGGTCATCTCCTGTACTGTGTCTGCAGTCTCCGGTCATCTCCTGTACTGTCCGCAGTCTCTGGTCATCTCCTGTACTGTGTCTGCAGTCTCCGGTCATCTCCTGTACTGTCTGCAGTCTCCGGTCATCTCCTGTACTGTGTCTGCAGTCTCTGGTCATCTCCTGTACTGTGTCTGCAGTCTCTGGTCATCTCCTGTACTGTGTCCGCAGTCTCCGGTCATCTCCTGTACTGTGTCCGCAGTCTCCGGTCATCTCCTGTACTGTGTCTGCAGTCTCTGGTCATCTCCTGTACTGTGTCCGCAGTCTCTGGTCATCCCCTGTACTGTGTTTGCAGTCTCTGGTCATCTCCTGTACTGTGTCCGCAGTCTCTGGTCATCTCCTGTACTATGTCCGCAGTCTCTGGTCATCCCCTGTACTATGTCCGCAGTCTCTGGTCATCTCCTGTACCGTGTGTCCGCAGTCTCTGGTCATCTCCTGTACCGTGTCCGCAGTCTCTGGTCATCTCCTGTACCGTGTCTGCAGTCTCTGGTCATCTCCTGTACTGTGTCTGCAGTCTCTGGTCATCTCCTGTACTGTGTCCGCAGTCTCTGGTCATCTCCTGTACTGTGTCCGCAGTCTCTGGTCATCTCCTGTACTGTGTCTGCAGTCTCCGGTCATCTCCTGTACTGTCTGCAGTCTCCGGTCATCTCCTGTACTGTGTCTGCAGTCTCTGGTCATCTCCTGTACTGTGTCTGCAGTCTCTGGTCATCTCCTGTACTGTGTCCGCAGTCTCCGGTCATCTCCTGTACTGTGTCCGCAGTCTCCGGTCATCTCCTGTACTGTGTCTGCAGTCTCTGGTCATCTCCTGTACTGTGTCCGCAGTCTCTGGTCATCCCCTGTACTGTGTTTGCAGTCTCTGGTCATCTCCTGTACTACGTCCGCAGTCTCTGGTCATCTCCTGTACTGTGTCCGCAGTCTCTGGTCATCTCCTGTACTATGTCCGCAGTCTCCGGTCATCTCCTGTACTGTGTCCGCAGTCTCCGGTCATCTCCTGTACTGTGTCCGCAGTCTCTGGTCATCTCCTGTACTATGTCCGCAGTCTCTGGTCATCTCCTGTACCGTGTCCGCAGTCTCTGGTCATCTCCTGTACTGTGTCCGCAGTCTCTGGTCATCTCCTGTACTGTGTCCGCAGTCTCTGGTCATCTCCTGTACTGTGTCCGCAGTCTCCGGTCATCTCCTGTACTGTATCCGCAGTCTCCGGTCATCTCCTGTACTGTGTCCGCAGTCTCTGGTCATCTCCTGTACCGTGTCCGCAGTCTCTGGTCATCTCCTGTACCGTGTCTGCAGTCTCTGGTCATCTCCTGTACCGTGTCTGCAGTCTCTGGTCATCTCCTGTACCGTGTCCGCAGTCTCTGGTCATCTCCTGTACCGTGTCCGCAGTCTCTGGTCATCTCCTGTACTGTGTCCGCAGTCTCTGGTCATCTCCTGTACCGTGTCCGCAGTCTCTGGTCATCTCCTGTACTGTGTCCGCAGTCTCTGGTCATCTCCTGTACTATGTCCGCAGTCTCTGGTCATCTCCTGTACTGTGTCTGCAGTCTCTGGTCATCTCCTGTACTGTGTCCGCAGTCTCTGGTCATCTCCTGTACTGTGTCTGCAGTCTCTGGTCATCTCCTGTACTGTCCGCAGTCTCTGGTCATCTCCTGTACTGTGTCCGCAGTCTCTGGTCATCTCCTGTACCGTGTCCGCAGTCTCTGGTCATCTCCTGTACTGTGTCTGCAGTCTCTGGTCATCTCCTGTACTATGTCCGCAGTCTCTGGTCATCCCCTGTACTATGTCCGCAGTCTCTGGTCATCTCCTGTACTATGTTTGCAATCTGACCATCTCCTGTATCAAGTGTGTACGGTGTCCCTATCGATGTGTACTGCTGGGAAAGTGTCACCTCAGACTGTTTACACAGACAAGGATCAGCAATCAGTCCGCAGATAACGAGGAATTAGAGGAGAACATTGATCGCTGATCCCACACATTGATCGCTGATCCCACACATTGATCGCTGATCCCACACATTGATCGCTGATCCCACACATTGATCGGTGATCCCACACATTGATCGCTGATCCCACACATTGATCGCTGATCCCACACATTGATCGCTGATCCCACACATTGATCGGTGATCCCACACCACACACTACAACAACCATCAATAGGTTGTACTTTGGCCCTCGGCTCAGCCCACTGAAATGCCCCCCCCACCCCCGACTTACCTGCACTGCTATCTGTGTCCCGTTGGACGTGGCCAGCAGGGTGACCGGCCTGGTCTCGGTGGCGACGAGATGGTGGCTATGCTGCTGTTGGCTCATTTCTGAGGAGGCCGCGTGGAATGCCGAGAGATCCTGAGCAACAATGGCCACCTGGAAAGGGCATCGAATCTGGTGGTTAGATGATATCAGAAGGTCACGATGATTACACGCTCTCTACTACTACCGACAGATTGTACCAATTCATGACAGGAGCATCACAGGGGTCATCCTGAGGGTACAAAGGCTGCTTACACCAAGGATCCATAGTAATCATTAGATCGCTATTCCCAGGAGCCTAACCCAAGAATCCATCAATATATATCGGCCTGTATACCGCCAGCCGGCCAGCACTTGATGATCGTCATATGAACATACAGGAAAGTTAATATGTCATTTTAACACACGTGAGCGGCTCGTTTTGACAGGACGTCATATGACACCCAGTCACAGCGGTGAGTGTCCCGCCCGGCCTATAGCAGATTGGCGGCTGATGACAGATCACTACTCCGGCCCGTTGCCAGTGTCATGTGACTGCTGTGACCAATCACTGCAGATCACATGATAATTGTATACAATGGATGGCTTCCCGTCATGCCATCCATTGTATACAATTATGTTGTAAGCTGTGACTGGTCAAGGCAGTCACATGATACAGACAGGGCCAATCACAGCAGATCACATGTGGATTCTATACAATGGATGGCTTCCCGTCATGCCATCCATTGTATACAATTATGTTGTAAGCTGTGACTGGTCAGGGCAGTCACATGGTACAGACAGGGCCAATCACAGCCCATCCGTATCATGCGATCAGCTTTGCCCAGCAAATCACAGCCCATCCGTATGATGCGATCAGCTTTGCCCAATCACAGCCCATCCGTATCATGCGATCAGCTTTGCCCAATCACAGCCCATCCGTATCATGCGATCAGCTTTGCCCAATCACAGCCCATCCGTATCATGTGATCAGCTTTGCCCAATCACAGCTAATCACAACAAAAGACTGAATGAATCCATTTCATTCAGTAACAATGACTGCAAATATCAATGAAATACATCGGTATCAGCAATACAAAACAAAAAAAAAATCCTGATCAGTTGCCCAGAGTAGTTCCATGTTACTATGGTAACATTGTATTGTGCTGAAAAATAAAATAGTAAAAAAAAAAAAATGTAATAAAAAATAGAAACATTTGATAAAAAAAATACAAAGTCACTGGTGATGTGGCCCAGCTAGGGGGCACCAGAAGGCACTGGTGTCATGATCCACCCAGGGGGCATCAGGAAGGCACTCCCAGGGGCAGTAGTGAGGCACTGGTGATGTAGCCCACCCAGGGGCAGCAGAAACAAACTGGTGATGTAGACCAGCCGGGGCAACAGGAAGGCACTGGTGATGCAGCCCTCCCAGGGGCAGTAGGGAGGCACTGGTGATGCAGCCCTCCCAGGGGCAGTAGGGAGGCACTGGTGATGCAGCCCTCCCAGGGGCAGTAGGGAGGCACTGGTGATGCAGCCCTCCCAGGGGCAGTAGGGAGGCACTTGTGATGCAACCCTTCCAGGGGCAGTAGGGGGGCACTGGTGATGCAGCCCTCCCAAGGGCAGTAGGGAGGCACTGGTGATGCAACCCTTCCAGGGGCAGTAGGGGGGCACTGGTGATGCAGCCCTTCCAGGGGCAGTAGGGGGGCACTGGTGATGCAGCCCTCCCAGGGGCAGTAGGGAGGCACTGGTGATGCAACCCTTCCAGGGGCAGTAGGGAGGCACTGGTGATGCAACCCTTCCAGGGGCAGTAGGGGGGCACTGGTGATGCAGCCCTCCCAGGGGCAGTAGGGAGGCACTGGTGATGCAGCCCTTCCAGGGGCAGTAGGGGGCACTGGTGATGCAGGGCAGTAGGGGGGCACTGGTGATGCAGCCCTTCCCAGGGGCAGTAGGGGGGCACTGGTGATGCAGCCCTTCCAGGTGCAGTAGGGAGGCCTGGGGCAGTAGGGGGGCACTGGTGATGCAACCCTTCCAGGGGCAGTAGGGGGGCACTGGTGGGCCCTCCCAGGGGCAGTGCACTGGTGATGCAGCCCTTCCAGGGGCAGTAGGGGGGCACTGGTGATGCAGCCCTTCCAGGGGGCAGTAGGGGGGCACTGGTGATGCAGCCCTCCCAGGGGCAGTGCAGTAGGGGGGCACTGGTGATGCAGCCCTCCCAGGGGCAGTAGGGGAGGCACTGGTGATGCAGCCCTCCTAGGAGCAGTAGGGGGGCACTGGTGATGCAGCCCACCCCGTTGACAGCAGGAAGGTACCAGTACCACAGCCTTCCCAGGCACAGCTGCATGTTGTTGTGCTTTTTCGGTTGTGGTGGTAAAAGGTCCGCTTTACCTTCTCTCCCTGAGAGTCACAGATATAAACTACTTCCTGCTACCCAGAACCCTCTCTGCACTTGAGTAGCAGCTACTAACCTACATGCCTTGATGAGCACCTTTGGGGCGCTTAGTTGGATGGATTTAGTTGTTGAATGCCCGGAATTGGTCTGGTGCAGTTGTGCCTGGCAGCCAGTCAGCTTCTAACTTCAGCTTGTCCAATGAAGCTTTGAGAATAAATCCTGGAAGCTGATTGGTTTCTATGCAGAGTTGCACCATATTTTGCCCTCTCCCACTTTAGTAAATCTTCCCCCTTGCGTTGAAGGAAGCGGCCGTTTGCTGTGGCTTCGTGTCTAGTGGCTCTCCTATGTCCCCGATACTTACATGTTGGGTGCCGTCCTGGGATATCAGAGCCAGCTGCTGTCCGGATTGCGCCACGGCGGCCGGTATGCCGTCTTCTCCCTCCATGCCGGTCACGTATGC